CGGGTAAGTTCACACGTTCTGCTTCTTGGTGGCCCGGGGTTCGCCAGTTGGGATCCCAGGTGCGGACATGGCACTGCTTGGCAAGCCAAGCTGTGGTAGGCGTCCCACATATAAAGTAGAGGAAGATGGACATGGATGTTAGCTCAGGGCCAGTCTTCCTCAGTAAAAAGAGGAGGATTGGCAGCAGTTAGCTCAGGGCTAATCTTCCTCAAAACAAAACAAAACAAAACAAAACAAAACAATGGAACCCCAGTACTTAGGACAGTGTTTCATACATAATAGGCTGTTGGATTAATACAAAAAAAGGTCCTGGTGAAAAATTCTGCTCCATGGGGTGATCCATACTGGAGAGTGACTGATCCATAAAGATCCTCGCTCTTGGAGGGTGTTAGTGTTAGACGACTCATGATAAACCGCACAATATCATACTATTTCTTGGTTGGGACCCTAAATTACTATTATTATTACTTTATTTTTTTACTGAGTAGATAGTCTCATGATATGAACTATTCCTTTGTATCCATGCAGGAATCCCCTTACCAATGTAACTCAGGAGTATTCTGTCCTTGCAAAATTCAAGAGCCTGATTATTACAAAGAGAAAAGCAAATCTTCCCATGGGTACTCAGTATAAAAGATATCATTTTGTTCACCCTAAACCTAGGAAGCGTTTCAATACCTTTCCTACTATTGCAGCAGAAAGCATTTTGTGGAAACCCATGTACAAGCAATTTGTGAAGGGCATTAGCAGACTGTTTGCACTGGAAGAGCTGGGCCCTGACTGAATTTTCCCTTTCATACACAGCATTAAATAATATCAGAAATGGCCAGAACAATAGAAATGAAGTCAATGAAGTCTCTCATGGAAACCAAAAGTGTCTGTAGTTTAAACACTGAGTTTTGCAATACAACGCTCTGTGATGACGACAACAAAGAAGGAGGAAGAGGAGGTGCATACAAATTAATGTGACAGTTAATACAAGAGCCGCAATGCAATTATTTCTGGATATCACTGGTAATTTGAAAGTGGCTATATACTCCCAAGTCATGTGTTTGACCAACAGTATGTAATTTGCATTCAGTAGTGTGTACTCAATCATTTTCAACTAAAGCTTTGTCATTTTAATGTTGACATTTAAGTTCCAATTTGAAGCTGGTATAAGACAAGACCAAATGTATGGAACCAACACCTCAACCCTAGTTACCTAGTGTATGCAAATATTCCGTAGCCCAGGGATCAGTCCTCTTTAAGAGTGGCATCCAAAAGGGGTCTCCTCTTGTTTGAGATGGCAATGTTTTCCACAGACACAAGACCACGAGACATTCACATGCTTCCCCCCACTTCTTTCTGCTATCAAAATCTACTTATGCTCCAAGGCCCCACTCACATCTCACTTCCTCCATGAGGCTTTCCTCAGCTATTCTGGAACATGTAACCATTCCATGTGCTGAATTCCCATAGACTTTATTGTCTACAGTATTTTTTGTTGTTATTTTATGAGAGCTTACATTCCTATGAGCATGTTTTAACATTTTTTGTCTTCTCAAAGGAAGAGGATGATTTATTTCTGTTTTTTGGTGGGGGGAAGATATCCTTCATTTAATATTTAACAGAAGCAAGACCTGGATAAGTAGTCACTGCAAGGATGTAAAGAGATGTAAATGACTATTCCACTGCACTATGTTTAGGACAATGGTTTCTCTGAGTGAATACAAGTGGGAGAAAGGTGATAGAGGAATAGTCAAGGAGTCAAGAAGTTTGCCTCTGAAATCACATCAAGGGTCTGGTGCAAAAGAAGAACCTTTAAAACTACTGGCTCAGCAGCTGGAATTGAAGGAGTCTTCTAGGCAGCAAAAGGAGATCATTCTATGTCATTACACCAAGATCAAGAGTTTGGTGAAGTGAGGTAGGATAACTTTCTCTCTAAACCACCAGACCAGAGTTGAAATGGCAGAGATGAATAAATACTTACTTATGCATCACTTAGCTGTAGCTGCTGCATATTGGAGAACTTTCCATAGATATATGAAGAGCTAATGTGACAGCCTATTCCACATGAGCCATGTCAACTGCACAGGGAGTTAATGGTCATATCTGGAAATATCAACTTGCAATATTAGCCTAGATGAAAGCAATTATCAGACCATGGTTCTAGGGGAGCACCTGTTGAGTTATTCCTGTTGGAGTAAAGCTACTGAAACTGAAGTTGAGGTGTTGAATTCTGCTAGAAAATCTCATATAAGGAATTATCACCCTAAGGTAATTAAATTTGTGTTTCTTTCTTCTTATATTGAATTGCTAGATTTTAGACTAAAGGATGTTTGTCATGCTGAAGAATTTAACCCAGATCCATGTAATTTGCTGTTTTGGTAAAGATACACATTAGAAATAAACCCCAAATCCAAGAGAGCTCATAAGCACTTCAGAATGCTGTCTTACATTTTATTTATATTCTTCTAAATTGTTAGATACCCTATGTACCAAGATATTCAACCACAAAAAAGAAAAAAAAAAGAAAGAAGAACTGACTTTTTACTGAAGGGATATATTTTTTTTCCCAGCCATGTTCCTATCAGAAAATAAGTTACCGGCAAAAAATAACAACTAATTATGTGGTCTCTGTTATAAATTTCCTACCATTATTTTGGATGAATATCCCTTGTTATCTTCAAAAGGTTGTACAGCATTTGAAATTCAAAAGGAAGGTGTTACCTGCTATCTTGCATAAATCTCTAACAATTGCAAATGGAATATATTATCGTCAGATCCGATTGCTTATATCCAATCTTGCCTCATCCCAGCATTTGTAAAGGTAAATGCATGGTAACTTGCTTCTTATTTTCTCAGAATTCAAAATTGTGCATATAAATGAGAGTATCCATGTTGCACCATTCCTTTTAGATTGTCTTTTTCCATTACTGCTCTCGTACGAGTCTATTACACTGAATGGTGAGAAGGGCTGAAAAACTTTATTAACTTTAACTGAAATATAACAGCACATTCTTTCTAAACGCAAGGGAGGGAAAACAAATATCAACCTTCTTCCCACTATTCAACATAAGGATTACAAATACACACAATACTTGTTTGAATGCTCCTAGATTCTGTAAGGTCATCGACTATTGTGAGATTTTATACTGAAATCTCCTTGTTCACAGTTTTCTAGAGTGCAAATCCATTGGGACTGTAATTTGCATACTATTAACACTATAGATTAAAAGATTAGAATTATCTAACTCAATCTAATGAACATTCATTGAGTACCTACTCTTTCCTCATCATTACACTAGGTTCTGGGGAGACAGGCAGTCAGGCAGAGACCTATCCCTGTCAAGCTCACAGTTGAGTTGGAGAGAGAATGAATAAGCTTAAAGATTAATATCCCTTAGGTTACAACAAGTATAATCAGAAGGGGAGCTGGACAGTTTCAGTGTTAAGTCTGATTCATGATCAGAATCACCTGGGGATATTTAAAAGAATAAAGATCGCTGGCCCCGTTCCAGACTTATCAACCCAGAATATCTTGGAGTATTACCCTAGGATCTATACTTTTAAAATAGTCCCTGGATTATAATGATGATCAGTCAGTTTGGGAACCACCAGGCCAGATGACCTTTAATGTCCTCTGAAAGCTTAGAAGTCTAGGATTCTATAATTGAATTTGGCAAGTTAAAAGTGGAGAAACAATTTGGGGGCAAAAAAGTGCATACGTATTCAGGTTTATCATGAATGAAACATGAAGCGTTCTTCCCAACCTGTTTCCAACCAAGTCAATGAAAATCTGTGTTTCATAATATGCCTGTCACCCACAAGAGGGCTCCCTGGGAAAAAAACCAAAAAAAACCCTCTACCAAAATAGTATAAAGCTTGATCTGTTTAGAACCACCTCAGTGATGGACTTGTTCAATGCAAAACACACTTGCAATCCATTCAGGACAGTTTTTGAACCCTGTCTAAAGGGGCTTATCCTGAAGTACCAAGAAGACCAATTATTCAGTCTTTAACTTTTTAAGCAGAAAGCCAGATTATTGTTAGAATATATAGTAAACTGTAATATATGGTAAACAATAAAGACCTCATCTTCATAGTCATCTTCATTTTCTGATTTTTCCTTATAAAATCAGTTTATATACAGCTCATCTAGTTTCTTTATATTTTTAGACTAGGGTACACTAAGGCTTAACCAGTGTGTAGACAGGACCCATAGAGGGTGTTGAATTACAAACACTGCCCTAAATGAACTCGCTGAGGCATCAGTAAGGCTGTTGAGGACAGAGAAAATATTTTTTTAAGTATCCAAATCTTGCGCCTGTCCTTGATTCCATGGGACATCTGTCCAGGGTTTTTTTCTGTTCAAAGTGAAAAGAGGCAGGTCATTTCAGGGGCTGGCTAGGCTGCCTCGGAGATCCTTCATGGACAGATCATTTTAAATTTAGTCTCACAAAAGTTTCCCCCACCCTTCTTTCACCTGGCTGCTCTCCAATCACATTTTATTCAGGAAAAGTCCCTGGATCTGTGTTAGCCTCAGGACAACATTTAAATTCATGTCACTGGAGGCATTCAATATCTGAAATCAGGGGTTTCCTCAGAGCTGCCTCAACGACGCATGTTCAGGTTCCCACTCTGACCCCGCGTATCTGAGAGGTAGCTCCTTACGCTCTCTGGGCAGCAGTTAAATGCCGTTTTCCGGGTGGACATATCTCCACATCTGAGTGCTATCTGGCAGCAGACCCTTGTAGGTACCTTCCCTATCCAATCCTTCCTCTCAGATCTGGTTGTACCTGTTGGACTTCTGCATCACATTTTGATTGGTGGCACTGAGCTTTCTCTTTCTTGGATTGAATGACATCCATACAGGTTGATAATTTGGGATTGGAATAATCTGAGTGGAGAAGAGATAATTCATTGACCATACCTGCCTGTTCCCCAAACCATGTGGTTGCCTGGAGCAAGAGTGGCACTGACGTATTCACTGTAGCTAATTCTGATATGATTTGCAGGAGCAAAGAAGATAATCCCCTGGCTTCTGAGAGCTCACATATCAGCCAACAGATTAAATATGAGAATTGTATTACCTGAATGAGGACAGAAGGTAAGTGAACTGTACAAACTCATTTAGAAGTATATGGATTCTGTGTTGCAATATATATTGATTGGCTATTGTGGGACTTAAAACCTTCATCTGTTTTGCTAACATAACAGCATGCAAAGCTGTTGGGCATATAATTTACTGCCTATACATAACACAGTACAGTGCAATGGCACCACCTACCTCAATCTTATAATCATTCATTGAGCACCTGTTCTGGGTCAGGTTCCATGCAGGGCTTAGCTGGGGATTTACAGGTGAGTAGAAACCCCTCGGGCACTCTAACTGCCCTCAAGGAGCTCAGAGTAAACTGGGGAAGAGATGGTGTCTTCAGGGAGATCAACATGGACAAAGCATAATCAATGCACTAACTGCATTCAGAAGGGCCGTATGGCCAGAGGAAAGTGAGGTTTCTTCAAGCCTCAGGGCTGAGATGTCTGTGATGGGGCATGGGGTAAAAGGGAAGTCAAGTGGGGGAGGAACTGTATGGGCAGAGGTGGAATGTATGACTGAGGTCATTTTAAAGGCTACTAAGCAGCAACCATGTGAGATGTGCCAACCACAACTGCCACCACGTGTCACACTCCCTGTAGTATACTTTCCACAAGCAAATGCAGGTTGCCTATTCCCCAGTCATCATCTCTTAGGAAAGCACACTACTGCTTCTGTCTTTAGAATGAGCCACAAACTATGCATGGTAGGCAGCATTTTAAGGTGATCTCCGTGACCTTTGCCCCGGGTGTTACTCCTGTGATTGTGTTCCTTGTTATGTGGCAAAAGGGAGATTATCCAGGTGACCTAATCTACTCACAAGTGCAATTTAAAAGCAGAGAGTTTTCTCAGACTGCAGGGAAAAGGAAAAGTCAGAGAGAGTCCAAGGGTGGGAGGGAGTCAATGGGCCTTACTGATTTGAAGACAGAGGAGCCCACATGACAAGGCAGGCAGGTGGTCTTAAGGAGTTGAGAGAGGCCACAGCTAACAGCCAGCAAAGGAATGGGGACCTCAGTCCTACAACCCTACAGAACTGAATTCTGCCAACAGCCAGAATGAGCCTAGAAGTGGATTCTTCCCAGAGCCTCCAGGTTAGAGCCCAGACTGGCAGATACCTTGATTTTGGCCTTTTGTTTCCCCCAGGCAGAGAGCTCAGTCAAGCCTGCTTGGACTTCTGACCTACACAGAAGGGAGATGATGAATGAGTATTGCTTAAAGTCGCTGAGTTTGGGTAAACTGTTATGTGGGCCTGTCTGCACTATGACTAGATTTCCTTTTACATGGTTTTACTTGTAAGTTGCTTTGCATGTATTCTAAAATTACAATGACATCTAAGGAAGAGTAATGCTGTCTTGTGTATAGACAGATGATATACCTGCCTCTCCATCAGTAAAGCACTTTTGCTGTTTGGGGAGAGGTCGATGCCACTGCATGGATCCACCTACCTTCCTTTGTCCTGCCTCTGTGGAGACCATCAGCCTCCAAAAGGGAGGTAGCTGTCGAAACTCCAGGAGAAGACCATGTCCCAAATGTCCTGACCTTAGATTCAGTTCTGCACCTTAAATTTACTCTTGGAAATCGCTCAGTGAAATGTACTTTTAAAATCCTTCGTTTTCATATTTTGATATTTCCACATGACTCTAGTACATTTGTGCCTCCCCCTCTGAAAGAGTTGGTAATCTGCATAGTTTGTTTTTATTCAACTTATTTTTTTCTGTAGAACTTGAAGTGGTTTTGGGAACCCGTGAGGACAGTTCCATAAGTTTAATGCTTCTGTAATAGACATTCCAGATGGCCTAGGCATTTAGGACAGGAAATGAGGATCCTTGTCACAAGAATTTTTGGAAGTTCTGCCGTTTTCTCAGGATATGGCTGGGATGTGGGCCAGACCCCCGAAGGCTCAGACTTCTGCTAATACTTCTTTTTCCTTGCTGGGCTGCCAAAACTAGAGGAAACACTTTTTATTTTTCCCATCAGAATGAAGTTACACCATCAGCCTGAAACTTTCTGTAGTCTGAGGAGTCTGGTGCAGGGCAGCTGTCCTTTCTCTGGAGCTGGTCGTTATGTCTTCAAAATCCTCCCTCTTCTGAGATCTTGCAAAGCGTAACTCCTTCTCCCTTGTGATCCTACTTCTTCCAGAAGAATGAACAAGCACCACTTTGAACTTCTGCCCTGGTACTTTCGGTGCATTTGAATCCATTCCATGCAGAGAAAATGGCCTTTGGCATCACTAAGTTTCCCCTACTCATCAGCTAACTGGTATGGTACGAGTCCTCCTGCAAGGTAGTCTAGCGTGCACTTGACCTAGCCAGGGCAGGATTGTCAGACAGACATTTAAGCTTCCTTATTAAACCCTAGGTATACCATCACAACTCCCCAGCCCCCCGAGAGGGGTTCTTCTGAACAATTCTGGCCCATTGGGTCTACCCTGTCCATTTGTGAAAGCTGCTTTTTGAATTGGTAGAAGCTGTGGATTTCAAATGCCTTGTTTCATTCTTTCATGGAGTACAAAGAGAGCATGGGCTATTTGACAGAGCAACCTTTGCAAACAATCGGCTTTGCCTGGCAAACAGCACCTCAAACAGGGGACAGAGAGGAGGTCAGGAGGGAAAGGAAGAGGACTCGGCGCTCTGAGGCTGCATGGGTGGAGGATGGAAGCCCAATATAGAAGTGCCCTGCTGCTAAGCTCGGACATGTGACTGCCACGCATCATTTTCTCCTTTTGCTAAGAAGGTGGCAGGTGTTTGCTTTCCTATTTTACAGGCTGTGAAACTGAGGTTCAGAGAGATTGGTCTTGCTTCTGAGCCCTAGGAATGTCCCCCATTATGTTAGATTATAAATGACTGGGAAAAGAAGTCATCTATCTTTTGCAGTCTCAATTTCTCCCAACAGCTTTCCCAACCTTGGATTGATAAGTTATGAATGATTACTTTTAATCAGGACTCACTCCCATTTTTCCCCATCTACCAAGAAGCCTTTGGGGTCATTATGCAATTTAAAAATAGCACAACTTGAGTGTTTATTGGTATCAGTGGAGTTAATTAAACATAATTTAACATCCCCAACAGCTGGATTGAAAGGTGGATTCATTTTTGGTTAAGCTATTTGCTGTAAGAATACTTCTAGAATACTATTTGTATGTTTTTGTCTTTGGATATTTTCTTGCTTCTTTTTTTTGTGCAGGGAAGGATTCGCCCTGAGCTAACATCTGTGGCCAATCTTCCTCTTTTTTTTTCTCCCTAAAGCCCCAGTGCATGGTCTTATATTCTAGTTGTAAGTCCTTCTAGTTCTTCTATGTGAGCTGCCACCACAGCATGGCTACTGACAGATGGCTGGTGTGGTTCCATGACCAGAAATGAACCAGGGCCTCCAACTCAGTGAGAGCATCAAACTTTAACCTCTAGGCCATCAGCGCTGGCTCAATCTTTGGATACCTTCTTAGCCTTTTTACTCTTAAGTCAAATTGTAGCCCTTCTTGTTTTCTTTTAAATCTTCAAGAACTTCTGCTACCTAAGTGAATAATTGTATGGAAAAGATGTGGAATTCTAATATTAGTGATTAACTGGGAAGGAAGTAATAAACAGACAAAAGGTGTCATTACTTTGTACCATCAACCTGGTTTCTTTCGGAAAATGTGCAAAGATAGAGCTGAGATAGAACCATGGTTTTGACTGTGGAAAATTTATTTAGCTTATCTGAGCCTCAGTCTTCTCATCTGCAAATTGGGACTGATACCATTGGCTGTAGGGAATGGTTGTGAGAATTAAGTGAGGTAATGCATATGTAGAACCTTCCAAAGCTCTTGCCACAGACTTGTCATTCATTAAATATCAGCTTGTATCACCTTAGTTCCCACTGATGACCAATTGACAAATCAACAACCTTTGCTGAGCATCACTAGTGACTTAGGTGCTTGGAGAAAAGGGAAAATATGAACCTCAGCTTTGAAGAATCTTCAGGATGTTTAGAGACCAGATAAAGAACAACACAGAAAAATAAAAATTCCTGGGTCCATTTCTGCCCCATTTTGCTCAGTTTCCTGGTGATTTAACTCCACCTCTCATTTCCAATGGCTATATTTTCCTGTGCAGGCAGTAGTCCCATGGGTATGAAGAGAGGGCTGACCTGTGGACAACTCACTTTTCCTAGTGAGGCCTGCATTTACCACGCTTCCAAGAATCCCTCTGTGGGGAGCTCCGCATGTCATGGACACCTGGCAAGAAACCATCCTTCATTCCATTAGGGTGTTCACTATAGTATTTCTTTCAGCATTTGATGTTTTCTTTCCTTTTTTATTAATTACAGAAAAGAAAAAAAAGCGATTCTGGGGCTGTTCTAAGAGAAAATATTTTTTACAACAATATTTAATCATTTGATTTCTCAACTAATATTGAGATTGCTAAGGTTTTCTTCAGGAACTTCCTCCAAAAGCAGACAGCTCCTCCCAAAGAGACTCTATGTCTCTAGGTTTTCGGTGGCTTTCCACAGTTTGGCTGGTTCTATACAGATCAATGGTACAGAATCCAGGGCAACCACATATAAGCAGATTTGAAGCACTTAAACAAAGGACCAGTAAGTCAGTGATACAGGAAGATTCTTTCTTGTTTTCTTTCCTTTTCATTTTTCTTTTCTTTTTTTTTGAGGAAGATTAGCTCTGAGCTAACATCTGCCACCAATTCTCCTCTTTTTGCTGAGGAAGATTGGCCCTGAGCTAACATCTATGTCCACCTTCCTCTATTTTATATGTGGGATGCTTCCACAGCATGGCTTGATAAGCTGTGCATAGGTCCATGCCTGGGATTGGAACTGGCGAACCCCAGGCCACAGAAGCACAGCATGTGAACTTAGGCACTGCACCACCGAGCCACTCCCTTCTTTTTTCCTTCTTTTATTTATTATTTTTTGCAAGGCTGCTAATTTTAGCCATGAGAATGTTTACTAGTGCCATATCCATAGGAAAAAAGCATTAAGACAGTGAAACAGTGGAGAAGATACTTTAAGGCAACAGTCAA